CCTAAGGGTACATCTAGACTACATGCCTCTGGCGACAGAGGCATGTAGATTAGGGTACCGGACATAGTAAAATGAAGCGGCGATTTAAATAATCGCCGCTTCATTTTACTATGTCCGGTACCCTAATCTACATGCCTCTGTCGCCAGAGGCATGTAGTCTAGATGTACCCTTAGGGCTTGGCTGCAGATAACAGATTGTGTGATGTGTCCTGGATGGAAGCTAGAAGAATGTAGGTAAGAATAGCAGTCAGTAGGTTTCCAGTATAGGGTGGTGTTTATGTGAACATCATTTATTTGTATTGTAGTGTAAAGAAAGTGGATCTCTTGTGTAGGCTGGTCCAGGCTGAAGTTGATAGTGGGGTGGAAATTATTGAAATCCCTGTGGAATTCGTCAAAGGTCTCCTTCCCAAAGGTCCATATGATGAAAATGTTATCAGTGTAATATAAACAGAGGACAGGTGGCAAGGGATGGGAGCTGAGGAAACATTGTTCTAGGCAGTCATGAAAATGCTGGCATATTGTAGGCCATGCGAGTACCCACAGCAGTGCCACTGACTTGAAGGTATAAACTGTTCCCAAATCAGAAACAGTTGTGGGTGAGGACAAAGTCACATAGCTCAGCCACCAGGTGTATTGTGGCATCATCAGAGTGTTCCTGACAGTTTGTAGTCTGTTCTCGTATGGAATACCAATATAAAGAGTTTCTACACCCATAGTGGCCAGGATAGTGTTTTCAGGAAGATTACCGATGTTCTGTAGTTTCTTCAGGAAGTCAGTGGTGTCTCAAAGATAGATAGGAGTGCTGGTAGCATGCAGCGTGAGGAAAGAGTCAATGTAGCCAGATTATCCTGTTTAAGGGTGCTATTGCATGAGATGATGAAACATCCAGGATTTCCAGATTTATGGATCTTGAGGAATAGACAGAATACTGACTATGAATGGGACAGATCCAGCCTGACTCAATTACCGTTATTAACACTGCTTTTCCTGTTTATATACTCTGGATTCTGTCATTTCCACTCCAACTCATCTGAAGTGGGATCTACCCACAAAAGCTCATGATATATTTGCTAGTCTTTAGGGTGACACAGGTCTGCTCACTGTTTAAAATACAGCATGTTCTAGCACAGTGCCAGATTCTTCACAGCACTATCCCACTAAATTCTGCCTTTGCAACACACTAAGCAGCTACAACAAACCAAGGTCTTTCCTGCACAGATGCAGACAGCATGAAAGAACAGAATTCTCGGCTAACTTAGCTGTACAGCACTGGGAATGCCAACACGGTAAACCCAAGATACTAAGTCATTCTCATGTGAAGGCTTAAAAAACCCTCACACATGCTATGGTGCACTATTCCTGTGGCTGAAGATGGCGTGTAGAATAAGGAGGCCCGTTTGGCTGTCAATAATGACAAGGGAGGGTGGAGAGAGCCCAGTGCTAGCCTCCCCCAGTGCTAGCCTCCCCACAGCACTGCCCAGCTGGCCGGAGTTCTTTCCCCGGGAGCCGCAGGGAGAGCGCTGCTGCAGGGGCAGGGAGAGCGAAGCCGCCTCTGGCGAACCCTGAGGCACTACTGGAGGAGGGAGCAGGCAGCAGGGCTGCGGGCGAAGAGGGGCGGTCAGCCAGGGAACCCCGCTCCCCCAGCGGCGGAGCGCAGCAGCGCTGTCGGAGGAGGTGCCTTTCTTACACGCCGTTTCCAGCTCGCTGAGCCGGGCCCTGCAGCTGCCCCGTTACCCCGGCCCCGTCTTACCTCCCCCACTTTGTTGGCAAGGGCGATGAGGTCCCTCTTGGGAGACCAGGCCATGAAGATGATTTCCTGGGGAAGCTGCTTCTCCCCGCCCCGCCGGAAAGCGGGCATGGCGGGGGGCTCCTGCACCGGCAGGCTCGGGCCGGGCTCCTTCCCTCACCTCCCCGTCCCCCTTAAGCCCTTCCCACGTCGCGCCCCATCCCGCTGCCCGCTCCGCGCCCGGAGCCCACAGCCCGTCCAGCCGCACGCAGCC